GCCCCCCCCCAGCCACGACGGCGCTCGCGTCATGGCGGGGAAGCCCTGGGAGGGGATTCAGAAGGTTGACTTTCTGGAGAAAACGTGGGCCAGCAAGGACTTGGGAGTGCAGAAGCTCAAGAGGGAGAGTTTGACGGAGTTGAAGGAAATGTTCGAAGCGCGGAAGAAGGATGAACTCAAGTGGGTTTTCGACGCCGACCTCGAAATCGACGAGGTTTGGTTCGACGAAGGGTATGGGGTGAGGAGCAAGACTCCGAAACGCAGCGAGAGTGACGTTATAAAATTTCTCGTTCACAGGTTCGTTTCGTGTTCTATCTAGTTATTTAATTCATTTTTGCTGGAAATTGTATTTGTTTATGAAGTCGAAGCCACCCTTGCGAGCGCAGTTATTTGGTTATCAGTTCTGGGATATTTTAAAAAAAAAAGTTTTAAGAATAGAAAATAAAAAATAAAAAAATTGAAATAGTTTTACATAGACTAAAATCAGTTTATATATGAGTTAAATAACTTATTTTAGAGATGGGAATACCAGAGAGTTACTACAAATTAAAGTTAATTTTAGCTTTTGGTGGAACATGTTTCAATTTTTTTTTTCTTTTTCCATTAGTGTTTTGTTAACTTATATACAAGTTAATTTTAGCTTTTGGAGGAACAAGTTTATCCAAACAAGTGTTTAATAATATATTTGTTAACAGGTATGGGGTATAATGTCCGACTATGTCTCAAATAGGGTGGTTTTCAAATGTGTGGAAATAAAAAAAATAATAATTATTTATTTATTTGGATGTAGGCTAAGTGATAGGGAGATTACCATGAGGGATTGGAAGTTTTCAAGGATGATGAAGTTGTCAGGATTGCCATTTACTGAAGTGCAGTTGTTGAGAATTGTGGAGTTGCTAGGTGTCAAACGTTGTTGGAAGCAAGCTCTTTCTGTGGTTCAATGGGTGTATAATTATAAGGATCACAGGAAGTTTCAGAGCAGGTGAGTTTAGAAATTTGTCTCAGCCTACTGCTATTGCTTTTTAAGGCCCCTTGAGAAATGTGTAATGTGTGGTTTTAAATGTTTGAGGAAACAATCAATCAAATTAAAGTGTTGACGGTATGGAACGGCTTTTGTTAAAGTATTGTGTTAAAGAATGGAATGAGAAAAAAATAAAATAAAAAGGATGGGGCAGTTTTTAAACACTCTGTTGGTGCAAATTCTTGTGCTTTGCTGTATTGTTTCAACCTAAATTTGATGTGATGCATGAGAAGATGAATTTTTTGATTGGTAATTGGTGTAGATGATGTGGATAAGACAGGGTACTGGTTGAGGATGCCTTGAGCCTGGTGTATTAAATAATAAAATAATATGCATGGTTATTTCTTAACAACCTATGCTTTCATTGTTTTGCTTACATGCTCGTTGCTTTGATTCTCTCTCTTATAAAAAAATTTAATAATGATTTTGTAGGTTTGTTTATACAAAACTTCTTGCAGTTCTTGGGAAGGCAGGAAGGCCGAAGGAGGCCCTTCAAATTTTCAATATGATGCGTGTAAGAATCAAGTGCTTATATTATTTTCCACATGAAGGCTTGTCTTTAATTGTTGTTCTGATGTTTCTGGATTGATTTACCTTCAATATATTCAGGAAAACATCCATGTATATCCCGATATCGCTGCATATCACAGCATTGCTGTTACACTTGGTCAAGCTGGTCTTCTGAAAGAATTGCTGAATATTGTGGAATGCATGAGGCAGAAACCCAAAAAATTTATGCATCGCAAGAACTGGGATCCAGTTCTTGAACCTGATGTAGTTATATATAACGCTGTAAGACAACAACTAGATATTTATCATATAACTTTCTAATGAATGCCATTTTATAGATTGATTGAATTTTCAAATTTCTTCAATTTCTCTTAGGTTCTTAATGCTTGTGTTCCATCAAAGCAGTGGAAAGGTGTATCATGGGTTTTTAAGCAACTGAGGAAAAGTGGTTTAAAACCTAACGGAGCAACTTATGGACTTGCAATGGAGGTAATTACAGGATTACAGCATCTGACTCCAAGTAATTTATTAAGTGTGTATATACTGTAATATTGAAACAGGGAGATACAATGTATATCTTAACTCCTTTTACTTTTTGTTAGAAGCTGAATCTATGAGAATGGTTAATCTGAATTAGTTCTTGGGCTGTCACCATTAGCTGTTTGTCACTAACAAGTAACAACTTAACCAGTATGGTTAACTCAGTTTAATTAAATTTTTAAAAATAAAAATAAAACAATATCAACTGTTCTTCGTAAAACTGCTCTCACAAGATCTATTTCTCACATTATATATCCTTGTATGGTGCCTCAGATTTCCATTTTATTCTCAAATTAACAAGCTACTTTTAAGTTATATTTTATTTCAGTCTTCATGGCTGAATGGGAAAATTATTTCATTAAGAGAATGTTATTACCTTCAGATGTTATTACCCTCAAAGCATGTTTGTATTCAAGTCTTACAGGTGGTGCTTGTTATAAGGTAATGATGGAATCTGGCAACTATGACCTTGTCCATGAGTTTTTTGGAAAGATGAAGAGAAGTGGGGAAGTTCCAAAAGCTCTTACTTATAAAGGTAGTTTTCTACTTGGTATTATTTGCTACTGATATTTAGCATCCAATAGCCTAATATATTTTATCTCACTTCCGTAGTGTTGGTGAGAACTTTATGGAAGGAAGATAAAATTGATGAAGCCGTTGAAGCCGTCAGGGACATGGAAAGAAGAGGAATTATTGGAACAGCTAGTGTATATTATGAGCTAGCTTGTTGTCTTTGCAACAAAGGGAGGTGGCAAGATGCTATCCTAGAGGTGCTGTTTTTAATCACCGCAAGTAACCACCAATGGCCTTGAGAAATTTGGCAGTGGACATATTAGGTCCTGAGAACTCAAAATCCACCCTGTGGTCCCCAACTAACCATGAATGTTGGCTACATTAGTCCTTAGGTTCTGGAGTGGACATATTGGCCCCTAGAAATGACTAATGTGGCCAACATTCGTTGTTCCTTAGGGTATGTTTGGATGAGGGTTTAGGAGGGAAAGAGTGGGATCAAG